CTCCCTTTAGGGGTTCCTTTTTTTAAGTTACAGTTTCCCCGAAGTTAACTTTGTAGTTAGTGCAATCGATAAATCACTTTCGGAAGAAGGTTTTATTCTTCCAGGTATTGGTAATTATTCTGACCGTTATTTTGGAACCTCATGTAATTAATAGATTAAAAAAAAAAAAAAAAAAAAAAAAAAAATACTCTGTAACCCAATTTTTTTTTTTATCACATTAATTAAATCCCCCAATATAATTAAAAAATATTACGAAATAAATAAGTAATTCTTTTTTTTTTTATTTGAATTTTTCATCAATATTTTGTTTTTTTTTTGCACTTGTTTTTTTTTAGATTTTTATTATTTTTTTCCTTTTTTTTTTTATATCAAAATTAAATCTTTTTTTTTTTTTTTTTATTTTTATTTTTATTTAAAATTACAATTGTTGAACAAAATATCTATATTTTTGAAATTTCAAAGTTATATTTATAAATATTATTATAATAAGTAATAAAAATAGTAAGTAGTTAAAATTGTGGTGTGGGTAAATTTAAAATAATAACAAAAATATTTGCATTAATAGGGTTTAAAAATAAATTAAATATAAATAATTATTATAATTTTTTTATTTATTTTTTTTTAAAAATCAATTTTTTTATTTTTTTATTTTTTTATTTATTTTTTTTTAAAAAAAAAATAAAGTATATTATTCTCATCAACTGATAAGTAATAAGTTATTTGTAAAAAATAATATTAAAGTAACTACATCATTTGTCACACAATAAAGATTCCTACCTTTTTTTTTTTGATATCAACCAACTTTCAAAAAATTTAAAAAAAAAAAAAAAAAAATAAATTTTATCGTACAAAAATTTTTTTTATTTTTTATTTTTTTTTTTTAATTTTCATTTTTTTTTATTTTATTTTTTTCATTTCATTTCATATTTATTTATTATAACAGATATATTATTTACAAATATTCTATATTTATATATATATATATTGTTTATTTATTTATTTATTTATTTTATATTGTAATATATATCTTTATATATTTTAATTTTTTCGAATTTTTCTAATTTTCTAATTTTTTTCTCATAGATATATATAATTTTATATATAGTAGAATTTATAGTTAGTTTTGGTAAATAGTAATATAAAGCTGAAAGAGACTATAAAAATAAAAAAATGAAGAATGAAGGGATTATCAAATCATCTCAAGTTTTCATTTTTTTTATTTTAATTTTAATGTTGACAAGTAATAATTCAGTTATCAGGGCTACAAGCAGCAATGAATTATTACAACAACAACAACATAATAAACAAAATAAAAAACAGCAACAACAACAACAGTATACTGACGATTCAATAATATTTATTCAAAATAATATAAATGAACAAAATATAAAAAAGCAAATTGGGTTTCATTATACTTTTACACAGGAATCAAATATGCCCACTTTATTTGGGAATACTTTTATTTTAAGTGAAGGTTCAAGTTTAATAGGTGGAGGAACTGTCGATCAGCAGCTACAGCAATTACAGCAATTAGCACAACTTCATCAGCAACAACACCATTCTAATATATTACAAAGATCATTCATTAAAGAGAATGGGGTGGATCAATTATCTTCACCATTAATAGCTACGAATACAAATAAAAAAAAAAATAATAATAACAACAACAACAACAATGATAACAGTGTTAATTTAGTAGGTTTAAAAACTATTTCAACTTTATCATTAGATTTTGTATCATCATTTAAAAAATCATATTATCAATATCAACATGTAGTTGTAAATAGTAATAGTAATAATCATGATAATGATAACGATAATAAGATTAATAATAATAATAATAATAACAATATTAATAATAATAATATTAATAATAATATAAATAATAATAAAAATATTAATAATAATGGCAATAATAAGGATGATAGTAGTATTGATGATATTGATTTGCAAAGTAAAACTCAGAGAATATATAAAATTAAAAAAGAAGGGTTTATGATAAAACCGAGCAGCCTGGAGTTTAAAAGAGGAAGTTTATGTGTACCAACTTATAAGATTATAGAGTTTATAAATAGTAATGAAAAAGATTCGGTTCATATTTTATCAGTAACAACAGAGGATTTAAACTTTTTTACACTTGTTAGTAGTTTGGTAAGTAAAAAAAAAAAAAAAAAAAAAAAAAAAAAATATTAATATTTTTATTTATTTTTTAATATAGGTTTTAAAGCCATTAGAAAGTGTCAATATTTCAATTATTTTTTTACCAAAAGAAATTGGAGTTTTTAAAACAGAGTTTATAGTAAATACAAATATAGGTGAATTCTCTTTCACAGTAAAAGGGGAAGGAGAAAATAATATTTATCAATTAGAACCAATTATCGATCAAATGGTTTTGGTAGATAAAATTTTTGTATCACCAATTTTTATATATAATCCTCATAATATAACTATGAAAATTACCGATATTTCAACTAATGGAAAACCATTTTATCTTTCACCTCCATCACCTTTAACTCAATTATTTAATGAAGCTGATTCAATTGAAAAGCATCCATGGGTAAGTAACATAATATTACATATGGTAATACTTAAGAAATTTATTAACACCATTTTTTTTCTTTTATACAGGAAATTCCACCATTTACCAAATCTCATTTAATAAATTTATTTTTCTTTTCACCAGTCCCCGGTATATTTAATGGTTATATTAATATTGAGTCAAATTTTGGTGTATTTTTAATTCAAGCCGATATGGTTTCTGTAGATGAAGGGGTTTATGTGTTCCCAAAAGAAATTGATTTTGGTTATATTACTAGCTCCACAGATTTTGAAACAGTTTCATTATTTATTTTAAATGCAGATCAAAAGGACTTAAATATAAAAATCGAACCATATTTCGAAGATAATGAAGGTCAAAGTGGAGATATCTCTAATGGCAAGAAACGTAAAATTGGTGATGGAAGTTCAAATATTAAATGTGCAAACTCAAACAATTTGAAATTTATTCAACATAATACAAAAATATCTTTAATGACACATGTAAATATAAACATTAAATTTCTAATAATTTTATAGAAGATAAACTAACACCATTGTTTTCATTTTAGAAAATGGAATTAGGTCATTTTATTTTCAATGGTGAAGAGGAAGGTGAATTTAGAGGAAAATATATTTTAAAGATTGAGGATCACAAAGACATTATTATTCCATATAGAGCATCAGTTACCCACGGCCATTTAGCATATAATCCCGAAGATATTTTATTCCCATATGGTGTGTTTAAGAGTATCGATAAGGAATATCCATCAATTATCAAGAAATTAACTCTACATAATTATTTTCCAATTCCAGTTTCAATCCAAACTGTTCAAATTTTAGATGATGAGGAATACAAAGTTGAGTCCGCTCCATTAGGTCAAACTGCTTTTCCTAATAAATCATGGGATCCAATTATCATATCATTCAATAGAAAGAAAATATCTGATGGTCAAGAAAATACACCAACTCATCATTTACAAAATTCAAAATATTCCTCATTAGTAATTTTAACAAATATCTCAAGCTTACAAGTCCAACTACATCGTTTTAATGGCCATTTAGATTTTTCATCAAATTTATTAGATTTTGAAAATTTAAATTATAAAAAGGTAAATATAGTCTTAGATAGTAATAATAAATAATAAATATTAACTCTTTTTTTATTTAAAAATAATTAATATTAGATTGACTTTGGAATTATAAGTATAAATCAATCAAGAAAGAAATTAATTAAATTTAAAAATAACAACCCATTTACATTAGATATTGAATGCTTATCAATTATTAGTGAAAATGATAGTGATGTAGAATTAAATAGATTGGTTTCAATTAAAATAGATAAATTTATCAATGAAAATGGTCAAGAGGTTTATCTTTCAGATTCTCAAAAGAGGCAAATAAATGAAAGGTGTAAAGTTTCAAAATTATGTCCATTACCAAGCAAACAAAACTCTAATAGTGCTGGAGATAAAACAATTGGCAGTAGTTCTGGTATAATTAATGGAAATGGTTATTTATCAAAAATTTTTTCAAATCCAAACAAATCAATTTTTTCACTAAAGCCATTTCACACTGCATTTTTAGTATTCGAATTTAATAGATGTAAAACCGAACGAACTTCAGAAGGTAAATCAATTAAACTGTTAATGAATACCCAAATTAAAACTTTAGAAATTCCAATTCATTTCAATGTTTTAGCAGGATCCTTAAATTTATCACCAAACTCAATCAATTTAAACATTGGTGTTGATACTAATAATGGTGAAAATGAAGAAAAAGAAAAATCAAACACAGATACAAATAGAAAAAAGACAATCGACAATTCCACAGAAAAAGATGCATCACCAAATTTAATAATAAAGCCTTTATATCTCGCCAACTCATATCCAATTATTGTAAATGTATCATCTATAGAAAGTAAAGATAAAAGACTCCAACTTAAACTATTAAATAATCAATTAGAACCAAACCAAAAAACTCATTTCGCAAATTTAATATTCGATCCATTATTAATCACAGAATCACCAAATGAAGTTAATAATAGTTTAAATAATAATAACAACGTTAGTTTTGATAAAAAATATTTTGAGCAAAGATTATCAATCGAAGAATTTTTAAATAGAGAAGATATTTGGATAAAAAATTCAACTAAAATTTTAAATTCAAATGATGGTAGAGATAAATATTATTTAACATTAAAATCAAATGTCATCGTACACACAGATTTACCATTAGATTTAAATATAGAAACCCAAATATCAGTTGAAAAGCCAACTATACCAGTTTACGATTTATCATCACTATCAAGTACAATGATGAAAAATAGTCCTCAAACTGACCAATCTGATTCCTCCCCAACCAAGGAAACTACCACAGGTGAAGTCGACGAAAGTTCAATTTATACAAAATTAATCAAAGAAAATCATCAAGAACCTCAAAATTATTTTGAAATTATTAATTTTGGTAAAACAAGAATTGGCCAAGAGTCAATCAAAACATTGTTAATTCATAACCCATTCGATTGTGAAATTTCTATTTCATTGTTACCAATGGATCAGCACGACATAATGATTTCAATTTTAAACGAAACCTATTTCTCAAAACCAAATGTATCATCTTCAAGTAGTGGCCCAATTAACTTGACAACAAAAACTCTTTCAAATCAGCTTAGACAATATTTTAATTTAAATAGTAATAATGTCAATATTAATGGAGTTAATAATAATTCAAATTATTCAAATAGTTTATTGGTAAAATTCAATGGTTTAAACAATTTTAGAATTGATAGAGATAACTTTGAGATCAATAGAACAATCAAACCTAAAGGTTTCCTCAAATTTGGTCCAATAAAATTTATTCCCAAAGAAATTGGATCCAGTAGTTGGTTTATCTATTTAAAGAACAATTATACCTCATCACTTACACCAATAAAACTAATTGGAGAATCTGATGGTGGCCGTTTAGCAATGTTCGAAAAAGGTGGTAAATTGGTTTCATCTTCAGCATCACCAACATCCTCAAATATATTATCATTCAAAGATAAATCATTTGAAATTTCAACATTGTTTTTAGAATTAAATAAAACTCATCTCAGTCCATGTATATTTAAAAAGAGAGAAGAAGAGGTTGATAATTTAAATTCAGAAATTTTATTTGACTCAAAGAACCAAAAGAAAGGAAATCATATACCTCAATCATCCTATAAAGATACTAAAATCGAAATCAATAAAACAATTCATATTGTAAACAATGGTGATATGTCATTAGAGATTTTAGATATTTCAATTGGTGATAATAGTAGTAATCAAAATAATAAGAATCATCATTCTTTCCCATCGAACAATCATGGTGACAATACCGGTACTAGTGGTGTCCAATCAGCAAATGGTAATAATTGCTTTGGTTTTGGTTTTAAAATTCAAAACTGTTTAGAAATTCTTTCAAACAAAGACTACTCGATTTTAAAACCAGGCGATTCGTTTAAACTAATCGTTAGCTTTGAACCAGATTTTAGCACATCGTTAATCAAAAAAGATTTAGTTATTAGAACTAATCAGAAAGATTTTACGTTTACTTTAATTGGTTCACTACCACACGATTATTTACCATTGTGCACCCATCTCTCTCCATCCTTCTTTTACGAGTATCCTGCCAAAATTATCTTTATAATTTGTATGGTTATACTGTTCTTTGTTTTAATTTTCTTAACTTGGAAAGAATATTCAAATGTATTTAAAATTTCAAATACTGGTTCCGATACTGAAGAATATGAAAATGAATCGCTAATTAGCTATCATTCAAAATCAGCTGCGAACCATATTAATAATCACAATAGTCGTTTAAACCATTTAAATCATCAAACCAATAATTTACAACATTTAGACTCTATTCATTCGAATATCCCTAAATCACCTGATAAATCAAATGACAATTTAAGAATCAAAAAGAAAAAAGCAAACTCAAGAGTTACTTTTAAAACTGCTCCACAACAACAAATTATTTATCAACCACAACAACCAATTGCTCCACCCTCTTCACCTCCTTCACAACTATACATTAATCCTTCAATTTCAGTTTCTCAACCAGATCAACAAATAAGTCAAAAAAGCCAAACATCATCTTCTTCATCATCTTCTTCATCATCTTCATCATCGCCACCACCATCTTCATCCTCATCCTCATCCTCATTATCATCTCCCCCTGATCCATCTTCATCTCCATCACCATCTTCTTCTTTATCCTCATCATCTTCACCACCATTACCTTCGGTTCCATCCCCAGGCCCATCAGATCCTATATCACTTAAAGGAAATGAGAATACTTTTGATAAAGAAAAGCCACAAGAACAAACAAATACTCCCACAGCCAATAAAGAAAATAAAAAGCTACAACAACCACAACAACCACAACCATCACAACAACCACAACCATCACAACAACCACTGCAACAACAACAACCACAACAATCACAACAACAACCACAAATTCAATTAAATCCACCGACCAATGTACAAACACAGGTTATAAAAGAAGATAAAAAACCTTTACAGCAACCAATCAAACAAAATTCAGCCCCACAACAATCATTACAGTTATCCAAACCTTCTACACAAGCAAATATCAAATCTCAAAGTACAACTCAAGATGCTCAAAATAGTAAACAATTTAAACCAAAAAATGATGATAATAAAAAGAAAGATAACCCAACTATCAACACTAACAATCATGATCAATTAGATAAAACTAAAAGATTCCAGAAAAAAAACCAAACTCAACAGCAAACATCCCAACAAGTACAAACCAACTCTCATCATAAACAAAATCAACATTCATTAAACAACCATCACAACCAACATACACAAAGAGAACACCAAAAAACAAGAAAACCATATGATAGTAATTATAACAATAGTAATAGAAGAGAGAACTCTAAGACCTATGTCCCAAAACAACAATCCTATCAGTATCAACAACATCAACATCAACATCAGCATCAACAGCAACAGCAACACCAACAATCACAACTATCAAATCAAAATCAATTTAATATTTCACCAACTCTCCAACCACAACAACAATCACCTACACTTCAACCACAACAATCACCTACACTTCAACCACAAATTCAACAGCTTTATCAACCTCAACCAATCTATCATCAAAATCAAAATTTATATTCAAACCAATCATTATATAGCTCAAATATATTTTCAATTCCAAACTCACAATCACCATCACCACCACCATTATCAGGTTCTCCATCACAGTTTAATCCATTCCAAGCATTCAACCCTGATTGGCTCAGTAATGGTAAACAAACCTCATCAACCTCATCATCCACAACAGCAACTACAAATACCTCGTCAACCTCACCAACACCAGATAATATTTATAAATCATCTATTGGCGTTATTGGTAGTGGTAAAACCTCACCATTTATTTCGAACTCACCAATTGGATCTTTAAATGGCACAGGTGGTAACATTCGTGATAGAAGTGGTAGTATTGGTGGATCTAGCAATAATATTGGTAATAATAGTAACATAATTAATAATAACAACACAAATAATAACAGCAATGGACTATCTAATAGTAACAACAATAGAACCAGAAATGAATATAATAATCAAGATGATTCTTTCTTAAAAATGATTGGTCTTAACCCATTTGAATCAAATAGTCATTCCCAACAAAATAGCCAAAGTTTCTTTAGTAATCCATTTGATCTTTTTAGTAGACACCAATCATTCTTCTCATCCTCAACAACAACGGCTCCAACAACCAACCAACCAACCAACCAAAAAACGTCATCCTCTTTTAATCCATTTGCACCATCGACTCCAAACAATGATGATAATAAAAAATAAAAATAATTTTAATAAAAATTTTATTTTTTTATGAATTTTTATATATTAAAATAAACCATATTTATTTTTTATTTTATTATTGTTTACCTTGTTCATCCTTTCATTTTTTTATTTTATTTATTAGTATTTAGTTATCTTATTTTTTTAAACTATATCATTTTAATAAATATCATTCTAATTTCTTATTATTTAGACTTGAAACGGAGAAAGAATGGAACAACCAGAAATTAGAATTTTTAAACTCAATTGAAGATTTTTTTATACAAATTAATTATTTAATAATTAGGTTTATTATAACAGGTTAATTAAAATTAAAGAATATATTTAAACAATGAACCAAATAAATTTGGTAATAGAGTACAGTTTTTCTAAATTCCTCAACATTAGTTATCTATATAAAAAACATAATGTAGTGGTAATAAATTTTTTTATTTTATTTTTTTAAAACTTAAATATTAATTGATTGACCATCATCCTATGTAATCGGTTATCCAAATATCACATTGTCTTCTTGATATAAATCTAGTGCCCATCTATCATTACCTTCATTTGAATTAAATATTCTTTCACCTTTGCCATATTTACGGATTCTTCTTTTAATGATCTTTCAATTTCAACTACTGGTGGTTTATAATTGTTTCTACTTCCTATTTAACAACTTTTTCTCAGATTTAACAAATAACCATTGATGTTTACTACCCTAATTCCTTTTTTGAATTTAAAATTCTGGCTTCATAATTGTTTATATTATCTTTCCTCTTTATAACTTTAAATGGACCTGAAAATTTTGGTAATTATTTAAATTGATCCTGTGATACTATATTTTTATATTGGATTAAAAACTAAACTATATTTTTTGATTTCTAATTGTTTTCTATTCTTATATTGAACTGTTTGTTCTACTTGAGATTCATATAAATTATCTTGTACTATTTTAGTAAAATAAAACCATATCTAAATTGTAATTTGTATTGATATTATAAGGCATTCTTTGTTCAAAGCAATATACACTACTTGCAGTGTTAATTTAGTAGACGAATTAATTAAATTTTTTAATTTAACATTCTATATTCATCCCATCTATCCTTTTTGCCTTTGCTTTGGATAAGGTCTCTTTAATTGTTTCTTTTCGATTGACCCCTGCCTATGGACGACCTGAACTAATGATACCTGAGCTTTGCCGTTAAACCCTGATAAATAATTTGTCGCTAACAATTGATAACGGTAAACAATAAACGCAAACTGATATTCACAAAAGCTTTATTGCTGTTAATGTTCTTTTGCACGGTATAATAATGACCATTTTGCCTAACCTTTCTGTAATTACGAATACACTATCGCTTTCTTTTTTTTGGCAAATTCATTAAACCCATTGCCATCGTTTCATGGAAATCCGAAACTTAAGGTGGATTTAACATACCATACTTGTTTTCTTTGATTGTTGACACTCCATACATGCTACATAAGAACCTATTTTTTTTGCCACAATGTTTCTAACATTTAATCCTAATCTTGTTCAACCAATGTTCCCTGAATGAAATTTTTCTAATTCTTTTGTAATATGTTTCTTGTCTACTAAAATTAATTTATATTTTGATGTTGTTGAATCTAAAATAAACATATACTTGTTGCTTGATTACCATTATTACCAAGAAAGTGAATACCATTAGAGTAACCTTTAATTTTAGGAAAGTTCCTTTTTAGATTGGATGATAATTGAAGTGAAATATAAGAACACCAGAAATCTAATGTTTTGGAACAATCACTAAATGTTTTTTATTTTGAATAAAAAGACAAAGCATTTTTTCTCTCATTTCCAACATTTCTAAATTGTAATAAAGAATTTTTGATGATTAGCAATGTTTGCCAATATTCTAAATTGTTTTGGCTTTGTGCTTTCTCTTAGTGTTGGTGGTTCTTGATTTATATATTTGAGAGCATTGAATAAATGATAATATGCTAATTTTAACTGGCCAACGTTAAAAAGAGCTAAATCAAGTTTTCTAGTGATTGAAATAATTTTGATTGGATTCTTTCTGGAGCTAATTCTTAGGAGATCGGCAATACTTGTAGATTTTTCTTGCTATTATACATCACTTGTGTAGATTTGTTTTTGTTGAACTTTGGACTTACTAATATTCTAACTTCTTACCTAGGGTTAATCATTTCCATTGCTTTTCTGTTTGGTTTAATCTTCGCAAACTCTGAAAATTATTGGCAGGTTCTTATTAAATTTTCTATAATAGTTGGATATCACCATGAAACCATGAAGTTCTTAATTGTAGTCGGTTCTGGATATAAATTTTCGATAGTTTGATCATTCTATCTGAAATTATATAAAACTTTTGTTATCTGTCTTGAATAATAATATCAAAAGCATTCTATCTTCTGAACCAGTAGCAACAATGGAGCTATTAAATTGTAAAAGATCAATATCGCATAATCGACTTCCAATTTCAATACATGGAACACTGGTTTAACGACCTTTACTAGCAAGTGGAATACAGCTAATTGAACACCATTACCTTGATATGGAACAGCAACATATTCACGATTAACAGGCTTTAATTTTACAACCATTGGCTTTAAAATTTGTATAAAATTGACTCTTTTAACACTTTAAAGACCGTCAACTACTTGAACTGATTCACCAGTACGTGGAACAACAACTCTATTCTAAAAATCTTTACCCAGTAGCAAATACCAAACTAATTTATCTTGACTAACAGATGCCTAATATTTTCAGCACTTGGATTGAATGCAATGGAATCAACAGATTTTGATGCATACACATTTCTTTGAAGAAGCTAACAGATTTTGAAGCATACACATTTCTTGAAGCAGCTAATTGAGCACCAATACCTTGATATGGAACAGCAACATGTTCACGATTAACAGGTTTAATTGTACAACCATTAGCTTAAATATTTGTTTAAAATTGACTCTTTTAACACCTTGAAGACCATCAACTACTTGAACTGATTCACCAGTAAGTGGATCAACAACTCTATACAACTAATTTCATCAACTAAAAATTTTTTTCTAAGTTACAATTACCAACGGAATCTATAAAAAGACAACAACTAGCAATAAATCTAGGGACATTTGATTATAATTATTTAAATGACTGAATATAATGTAAAAAATATCAATTAATATATAGTTTAAAAAAATAGTGAAAAAATAAAATATTTAAATATTTACCTATGGAAGGGGAGTTTATAATTGGCACAATGAGCCGTAATGGAACTCTGCAATGTGTGATAATAAAATATAATAGTCGCTTTTAACTTTTGGTTTAATTTCGATGAAGAAACTAGTTTGGGATGCAACTGATGATATAATTGTAATATTAATTTTAAAGATTTCAGCTGCTGCGACTAATGTTAAATGATCACCCCATGTACCATTCTTTGACATATTGTTGCAATATTCTTCCCAACTTGAATCATAGACAAAGTCTGATAGGGTGGCACCATTGGGAAGTTTAAATCCTCCATTGACTCTAAGCCAATCAACAATTACAGTTCTAATTAAAGCACTATGGTCCAAGTCACCATAGATTTGATCAGATAGCGCATGCATCTGGCAATTTCCATCACCTGGAATTTCCCTTCTGATCATTAAACCATATAATTGTATACGTTCATTTAAACGTATCTCAGCCATTTGTGATTGGCTCAATTTATGAGGTTGAATATTTGATAAACCTCTTGTATTTACCAATGGTGTATCGATATCCATTGGAACCATCTGGTCATTAATCATTTGTGCTGCACTCTGTTTTTGTTGTTGGAGTCTTTGTTGCTGTTGGAGTCTTTGTTGTTGTTGTTGTTGTTGTTGATATAATTGTTGTTGTTGGACTCTTTGTTGTTGTTGTTGTTGCTGATATAATTGTTGTTGTTGGAGCCTTTGTTGTTGTTGTTGATAGAGTTGTTGTTGATAGAGTTGTTGTTGATAGAGTTGTTCCTGTTGTTGTTGGTAAAGTTGCTGTTGGTAAAGTCTCTGTTGATATGCTCTATTTTTTATCTCTTCAAGTCTTTGACGTTCTTTTTCTTGCTGTTTCAAGTATTCTATATTGTCATTGGAGATACAGTATTGGCACTTTTCCTTTTTAATAGAGCATTGGCAACCGTGTTGAATGTTGGTGTTTTTTTTGAAAATGAATGGACCAAAATAATATAAAAAAATGACACCAAAACCAATAAATAAAGAAATACATAATAATAAAAATTTATCCATTTTTGTTAAAAAATAAATAATTATTTGAAATAAAATAAAATGTATATAAGTGTAAAAATAAAAAAATAAATTTTATGATTTAATTTAAAAAAAAAAAAAATTAAGCTGGATGTAAAAAAACGAGTGTGTGAATGAAAACTTTAATTTTAATAAATGAAAAAAAAAAAAAAAAGAAATTAAAAAATTTTTATAAATTATAAAAAAAAAAAATTAATTAAAATTAAAAAAAAAAATACAATTGTTTAATTTAATGTGAGTTTTTTTTTATTATATTATTATAATTTATATTTAATTTAATTTGTAATAGTTATATAGACTTTATTTTATTTTATAGTTTTAAATTGAGAATTTTAATTAAATCTATATTTTGATTTGAAAAATTCATTAAATTCTCTTTTAAATGATATCCTGAATACCAAGTTAATTTTAAAAAAAAGATTTAAAAAAAAAAAATATTAATTAATTTCAAATATTATTTCTATATTTGGTTTAATAATTTATAAGTTTAACTCTGAATATATAATAATTACTATTTATAAAAAATATTTAGTTAATAAAAGATTGAGAATTTATTTTTAATTTACTTTTTAGTTTTTATTTTTATTTTTTTTTATTTATTTGAACTTTAATTTCACCATTATTAAAAAAAAAAATTGTATTTATTATGAATAGTTTATTTTTTTATTAATATTAATAATCTATCTATTGTTAAATTAGTTATCTTTTATATATTTATAAACAAAAATATTTATTACATATTTTTTTTAAATAAAAAATAAAAAAAAATAGTTTAAATAATATATAAATAAAACCTAGAGAACATTATCAGAATAATAAATTTTATTCACACATTTTATTATAAAAGAAATATTATAATCAATAATTAGATATTATTATTTTGAAATATTTAAAAATACCCGTTATTAATAATTACAATAATTTTTTAAATTTTTTCACCCATTTTCCACTTCATACTATATTTCTCTCATTTATAATTTAATAAAAAAACAAATTTTTCCCCTATTAAATAATAAACATCAATCACAAAATATTTATTATTTATTTTTTAAATAATAAAATTTTATTTTTTTTTTTTATAAATTTTTTTTTTATAATAATTTTTTTATTATATTTATTAAATTATATTTTTATATTTTTAAATTTACGCCCTTCAGTTCAATAATAGTTAAAATACTTATTTGTTCTGTTATATATATTTTTAAATAATACATACCACTCTTTTTACATTTAATAATTCATATACTTCTTATTTTCTTTTTTTATGGTGTTCATAAATAACTCATCACTTTTGTTCAACTCAATAGATGATTCTTTATTTAAGAGAATACCAAATCCAAACCAATCACAACCATCAATTATTACAAATAGTCCAGAAAAAGTATTAATAATTGAAAGTTATCCAATGGTGTCGAGAATTTGGGAAAATTTAAATTATTCAGGTTATTTAAAGTTTAGATCATATATTGTTAATAAGAAATCAAAAAAATATATTTCAATTCTCCTATTATTTTTAGTGGGTCCATTTTTTCCTTATTATAATATTAATTATTTCGATTTCTATGGTAAGTAATAAATTAAAAGAATTTTATATTTATATAAAAAATCACCCAAATTATTAACTTTTTATTATTATTTTTATTTTAATATCAAAAAGAAAATCAATTTAATATTTCAACACCACTAAAATCAAATTTAGATCAATTAAATTCAATTTTGCCGATCCAAAATAACCCACAACCATTGGATGGTTTTATATCATCATATGATCAATGCATGAAAGATAGAGAATTAGTATTCTCCACTTACACTCCAAGTACATCATGGATTAGCCGGGTATCAACAAACAATAATTTACAACTATCGGATGGTTTTATTTAATAATGTGATCAATTAATGAAAGATAGAGAATTAGCACCCTCCACTTACACTCTAGGTACATCATGGATTAGCTGGGTATCACAAAAATTAATTTACAACCATTGTATAGTTTTATTTCATCATATGATCAATTAATGAAAGATAGAGAATTAGAATCCCCAGGATGTATCCTAATACTATATAAAAACCCAGAAGAGGTGGTTTTTTTATATTCTATCAGATAGCGCATGTGGTCTAGTGGTATGATGCATCCCTGCCACGGATGCGAACTGGGTTCGATTCCCAGCATGCGCAAATTTTTTTCCAAATATATCCCTATATCTTCCGGGAGAATGAATCTTTAAAAAAAAAAAAAAACATAAACGACTGTAGTTACCCGAATCACACACGAATTGACGTTACCGTGCCCAGCTTGTATGCAGTGTAGTAAAACTCATATAAGCATTAAACACATACCAAACACAATAAACTGATGACTTAATATATCATTAAGAATCATCTTCACTTTTAAAAAAAAAAAAAAAAAAAAAACTATAGTTACGTTAAAATATAATTATAGTTTTTTATTCTAGAATAAAAAAGATCAAAGATAACTACACAAAAAACCATAATCAATCTTCAAAGAGGAATATAAGAAATTCAAATGAAGAATAACAAGAATTTTTTCTTCATAAACCTACAAATATCGATAAGTTAAAATACTTTAAATTAATTTAAAAAAAAAAGAATTGATTTATAAATAAATAAATAAATAAATTTTTATTATATATAAATTTTTTATATATGATTTTTTTTAAAATCTAAATGTTTTAAAATATAGATTTTTATATATATTTACAATACTCCATTATAAGAGTAATTTTGCACCAAGGAAATGTAATACCTCTTTGCTTAACCAATAGGAACTATGAGCGGTCAACATTGGGCCATACTCTGATATATGAAAACCCTTTGGTTTTAATGCATAGTCATAACGGAAACCTCCAAATAAATTAATGTTTTCTTTTGATCTTGTAAGTTTAGATTCATGATCCTCGTCGACTGGGGTAACATTAGTATCATTTGAAGAGCTATCTTCGTCGTCTTGATCATCATCACCAGATGACGAATCATCCTCATCTTCCTCATCCATAATACTTGAATATTTTTCAGTTGTACTGTTGCTGCTTGTGTCTGATGAACTAACAGTGCTTATTATTGAAGTCGAAGTGACTGTGGTTACAGATGAATAGTTTGGTGATGATATTGAAATTTGTTGAATTTGTTGTTGAATTTGTTGCTGTTGTTGTTGAGCAGATATTAAACATGGTGATGGTGTTGCACTATTATTGGTATTTGGTGTATTTGTAATCATTTTTTCAATTTTTTTGGATTTTTTAAATTTCTTTGGTAATTTTGATAGTTTTCTTGTAAATTTTGGGAGGTATTCTATTTCTGACTGAAGGAAACGTTTATCGATCAAAGGTTCAATCAAGTAAGAGATTGGATCGCATGTGTTATAAATATTATACATGTTGGTGCATTGTGGGATTGGTACTTGTTGATGTTTACGTAAACTTAATAAAGCGCCAACTGGCGAACCAATAATATATAAATTATATACTGGGAATTCCAATGGTGTAAATGTCATATTTGTATGGAATGATTCTTTTTTCTCTTCGTTATAGTTCTTTATCTTTCTCCATAATGAAATATTACCTGGCTCTTCGAAACTTGGGATGTTTACACATCCAGAATCACTACTACTATTAGTACTATCGGCATCATTAAAATGAGTTTTTAAATTATCTGAAACAGTTGTTGGTTGATTTGTAAGAATGTCGTATGTAATTATACTGCCCAATGAATGTGCCAAGATCGAAACCCTACCATTAAAATTTGGATAATCTTTAATAAAACCGTGATATGCTTGATTTAATTGATCTGTAACCTCTTTATAAATTGGTTCTGCAAATGTTGGTGTTGACCACATTAAAAAATCTAATAATGTGTCATCGACAATTTGTCTTACTGCCGGTATACCCACTGTTGGTGTAACATCTTGGATAGTACTATAATATTTTAATTAATTAATAATCCATTTTTTTTTTTTTTTTATTTTTTTTTTTTTTACCTACGTTCCCAAATGATTATGCATTGTCGAATGCCACTCTGTTCCAATAAACTTTACTCTTTTATCAAAATTTTCAGTTTCTTTATTATAAAAAATTTTACAAAATAATTTATTAATTCTCTTTATTGTCTTTGTCCATTCTTTTTCATGCTTTAAAATAAATAAAAAATTAATATTAATAATTAATAATCAATTATTATAACTATTTATTTTTTTACTTACCTTGCCAATACCATGAACTAAAATTACCAAATGGTCATATGGACATGTATTTTGAGTTTGTGCTTGTGTTTGAGTTTGTGAAACCATTGTTGGTGATTTTTGTGGTGCTTGAATTTCTCTAACAACACCGTTGTTATCTGTCATTTTTTTTTTTTTTTTTTTTTTTGTTTGTTTTTTTTAAAAAAAATATTTTTTTGAATTAGAATTTAATATATATGATAAATAAATAAATAAATAAGAAGTGATTCTTTTTTTGGAATAAAATAAAAAATAAAAAAATAAAAAATAAAAAAATAAAAAAGATATCTTTTAAATTAATTAATTTTTTTTTTGGGTTAAATTTTTTTGTTTTCTTTCAAAATATTTTTTTTTATTTAAAAAAAAAAACTTTTATTTTTAAAACCATAAAAAAAAAAAATTTTTTTTTTCCTTAAAAAACTTTTCCAAACCTTTTCCCCGGATTTGTTTTAGAAAAAGTTTTGTTGGCCAATTTTCCCTTTTTGGCCCTTTTTTTTGGCCTTTTTTTTGTTTTTTTTTTTTTTTCCGGAAAAAATTTTAAAAAAAAAAAAAAAAAAAAAAAATTTACCCGGTGGGGGAAAACCCCCTTTTTTTTTTGTTTTTTGTTTTTTTTTAAAAATTTATTGTTTTTTTTTAGAAAAAAAAAAAAAAAAAAAAAACCCCAAAAATTGGTTTCTTTTTTTTAAATAGTTTTTTGATAAAAATATTTTTTTTTTAAAAAAAAAAATTTTAAACAAAAGGGGGGGTTTTTTTAGTCTTAATTTATAAGGGAATAATGATGATAAAATTTTTGTAACCTTTTTTATTTATGGGGATTTTATTTGTTTATATAAATAAAAGATTTATTTAACAACTAATAACTATTGAAAATAAAAAATTTTTACCTTAAATTATCCCTTTTATTTTGTTTTTTTATTTATATTTTTTTTTTTTTTTTTTTTTTTTTTTTTTTTCATATGATATCACAATAATATTGTTATCAAATAAAAAATAAAAAATAAAATTTTAAAAAAATAATAATTTTGTTTCTTTTGGTTTGAGTGTTATAGAAGCTTTAAGGTAAGAATGATGTTATAATAATAAAATTATTTTAATTTTTTGGGATATATGCCGTTAATTTTTTTTTTTTTTTAAAATAAAATTTTTTTGGTTATAAAAGTGCCACTATTTACTTTCGGAAAAAAAAAACAATTTTCTGAAAACATTTAAATGATGAAAAGTGTTGTCACATAATACAATCAGTCATTTATTTTTAGAAAATATAAATAGGTGTTATTAAAAAGTTTCATTACAAAAAAAAAAAAAATTCTATTAATCTTAAAAAATAGAGGAATATAACCACACCTTTGCAAAGTAACACCATTTCATATTAAATTAATTAAAAAAAAAAAAGATGGATTAATCCCACTAATTATTTTTTTCAATTATTTGAAAGAAAAAAAGAAATAAAAAAAAAATTATAAAAGCAATATTAACCAAAATAAAAATATTGTACAAATAATATTTAATTTTATTATTATTATTTTTTTTTATAAAAAAAAAATAATCTGATTATAGCCTAGTTATTATTATTATTATTATTATTATTATTATTATTATTATTATTATTATTATTATTATTATTATTATTATTATTAATTATAGTTATAGTTATTATTATTATAGTTATTATAATTATTATAGTTATTATAGTTATAGTTACTAATATTTTTAATATTTAAAAATCTTTGTGGGAAATAATAAACAAAATAAAAAATAGGGGTAATTAAGAAGGAAAAAAGAGAATGGGTCTTTTGCTCTACTTTGGACGTAAATTTAATTGATTTATCCATTGATCTATAATATTCTCCAATGCTAAAATTGATTAAGTGTTTGTTGTGAATGAGTTCTCCTGCATAAATATTAAGTACAAATTTACCAAGTTTAATTGAAATATTTGATTGAGTAATATTTTCAATGAATGTTGCGTAGACCTTTCTGAATTTGTCATTAGTTGCAGCAATTGCAGATTCATTTGAGTATCGACCTCCAACATAGTTGTCAAATTCGTATGCTAATTTATAACAATATGGTACCATACCTCTATTGTTAAAGTCTATGAATGTTTTACCATCACCGATGATATAGCTATAATGATATGTTCTATTGGTGCAACGAAAATCGGTGGAGATATCTATATGAGTTACGGTTTTAAGTTCATTAAGGAGACGTCTTGTTCTTATTTCTAAAGAGTCGTCAAAATACATTGCCCCTTTAATATCTAACCCATATCCTTTTCTAGTTTCATGGAGATAGCCCAATTTCTTGTAGTATCTGATATGAGAACCAAATGTAAGAATTTGACTTAAGAGCACTTCTAATGGCTCAAGGTATGGTAATTGCATCCTTAAATAAACATTGGATATTGGGTCATTTGGTAAATTGAAAATTGATTGTGTTTGTTGAGGAGGGTGGGTTCGTGGCGATGAGTTTGGTGGGTTTATTCCATTTATATCTAGTTTTTGACAATACCAATTAGCACTGACTGATGAGTCATCAAAGAGATAGTTTATAAATTTGAGCATTGTGGTCCTATCAATTTCTTTTTTAATATAATAGTGAGTGAGCTGTAAGACATACATTGGACAAAACCCTTCTATATATTCATAAAAGCTTTCGAGTGAAAACGAACGGATGGTCCCACATTGTAAATGGTCGTCATGAATCGAGATGGTTTCGATACCATTTAAAGAGTAAGTGAAATCTCTATTTGGTTTAAGTTGTTTTTCAAGTGCATAAACCCTTTCAATAATATCATAGTTGGTTCTATGTGGTGATACTACAGCAGATAATTTCTTTAATTTCTTTGTCTTCTTTTTACTACTAAGTGCAAGGCTATTTGTTTGTTCATTTTCTTCGCCACTTTGAGAGCTCTCACTGGCGGTACTACAGTCACCATTATTGATATCCCCTGAAACTTGGATATTATCGGATTCATCCTGGCTAACGTCTTTTTTGATAGAGTGAATATTGTCAAATAATTCTGCTAAGGTTTGAGTATTTGTAAGCTCTTTTTCTGCACCTCTAAAATAATTTGTATAGTTTATAAAATCTTTATTCTTTCCAAAGAGAAACATCTTTTCAATATATTCCTGAGCCAAGCTAATCATTTGTGGATTAAAACGTAAAAAAGATGAAATAACAGTCTTCTTACTGTTGTTTTGGAGAAAAGTATCAATAGCAGCACCATCTGAAACTAATTCTAATAATTTCGAACTATTGTTTAAAAACATATCAACAGGGAAAGATGGATCACTATTTGGAGTTGCTGTGCATTGATCTATTGGCTCTACAGTTGGCTTATGATCATCGTATTTCTTTTCTTCTTCAGAAAAGATTGGAACATTGGATGGCTCTAAACCTGCAAGACCTGGAGTAATTGATGGTTTTGAAGCTGGTTCAATAGTTTCGGAATCTGGTTGAGTATTTATATTACCACCACCATTAAGAAGATACATTGAATATTCTGGGTACTTGGTTTTCAATCTTTCAATAAATGCTCCATCTTCTAAAAGTTCTTGTTGGTTTGTTATATTTACAAGGTGAATTGATTGAATCTTTTCTATAATATCTTTTTGGAAATCTTGTAAGCTCTTATAAAACTGAGTAAAAAATCTATTTACCATATCTATTGAATTTAAATTATTATTTATTTCATTGTTATATTTTTCTTCATAAATATTTTTTTGAACATCTAATAATTTTAATTTATTAAAAAAATTTAAAATTATTTTTTCTTTTTCTTTACAATTTAATTTTTTTTCAATTATTTCTTTATTTATTATTAAATTATTTATTCTAATACCATGACTACTTTCATTATCATCAAATGATTTATTATCGTTATTGCTATTATTACTATTGTCACTATTATTTATTGGTTCTATTGAATTGGGTTCCATATTAAATACAAATGAATATAAAAAAAATAATAAAAAATTTTTAATTATTTTATCTATTTAAATAAATTAAAATAATATTTTAAAATTTAAATATTTTTTAATTATTATAATATATATTTTTAATTATTTATAGTGTATATTTATTATTATAATTAAAAATATATATATATATATATAAATTATTTGAATTAAAAAAAAAATTATACTAAATAAATAAAAAAAAAAAATGAAAAAAAAAAAATATAAAAATTGATAAAAGACATGTGTAAAAAAAGATATATCACAAAGTTCAAAAAATATAATTTTAATTTTTTTTTTTTTTATCAAAAATAAAAAAAAACAAAAATCTGTTTTATATAAAAAAAGATAAAAATAAAATTGGTAATGATTTTATATAATTTTAATGATTTATGTTTTATAAATAAATATTGGTTATCACAATGAATAAATTAAAATTAAATGTGTGTGTGGTTTTTTGTGTATATATTATAAACTTATTTATTTAAAATTAAATTTATTTGGTTGGTGATAAATAAAATGAAAAATTAAAGGAGTGATAAAACTGATGATACTATGAAGTAGTGATTCGGGTTTATTCTTCTTTACTACTTGATAGTTTTCATAAAATGATCTGTAAAGCTCACCCATCATAAAATCAAATAAGTGTTGGAACTCCAAAGTATTTAAATCGCCTCTGTTTAAAACCAATTCTATGGTTGATGTATGATTAATATTCGATGTACTACTGTTATTATTATTGTTATTATTATTATTATTGTTGTCATTGTTATTGTTATTATTATTATTATTGACAAAAAAATTATTAGAGTTGCAAGTAATTGTTATTTGTGAAGAAAGGAATTCATTTAAGAATTCCGAAAGATATTGGCGATACTTTGGTGATAACATATTGCATGCAGCAGAAGTGGAGTAAAAACTATAGTTGCTGTGATCAGGAAACATTTTGGCCATTACATAGTTATGTGGAACTACACCTCGAGTATTGTAAGCCTCCATTGATTGTGAAAGTGGGATTTTATAATTTTTAACTGATGTTGTATATGGTGCCATTTCTTCATCGCCATCATAGTCTTTATTTGATGGCGAGGATAAATGGGATGATGAAGCCTGTTCATTATTATTATTATTATTATTATTATTGTTGTTGTTTGTTTGATTATCTATATTACAATTATATTCAATTTTTAAATTTATTTCAAATGATGATCTTGCCATTTCTAAGAGTAATTTTGATTTTTGATCCTCGATACCTTCATCGAAATAAATAAAAGAATGAATATCCAAACCAGTCTGTTTTCTTTTTGTATAACCCTTGGCCTTTATGAACTGAATATAACCACCCAACAACATGATTTCGTTCATTAATGTATCTAAAGGTTGCAACAAAGAGATCTTTGTTTGGATTCTGGCATTACTATCTAATTTTTCGAGATAGTATTGACTTGCTATTCCTTTTTTATCGAAAAAGATCATATCGAGTAGATCTAGAAGATTTGATTTATCTATTTGACCGGCACGGTAATACATTGCCAATTGATGTGTATAGAGAATAGCATACCCCTCTATATATTCTTGAAGATTCTCGTATGTGAAATTTTTATTCATATTCGAAACTTGGGGTGTTGGTATTGGTATTGGTTCATCGAGAATATATTGAAATCTTTCTTTGGTTGGTATTCTATGTTGGACCAATGTTGGTGATGACTCATTTATTGAGTTTGAATTATGTGATGAAATATTATTATTTATCATTTTATATTTATTTAATTTTATAACTATATAAAAATTATTTTAGAATAATATTTTATATTTAATATTAATACTTCATCCTTTATTATTTTAGAGATTGAGTTATATTTTATTTACCTTTTCTATTTATATTATTAATTTATTCAATTCTATTTATTCTTTTTATTTTATTTTTTTTTTATTATTTTATTTTTGTATTTATTAGAAAAAAAAAAAAAAAAAAACAATTTTACTATGGTGGATTTATTTATCTTATTCCTTTATTATTTATTATTTACTATTTACTATCTACTGTTTTGAACTATTTAAATTTATTTTGTATATTATTATTTTTTGTATTTTTTTTATTATTATACTCTTTATTAACTATTTATTAACTATTTATTAATTATTATTTAAATGCTATTTAATTATTTATCTGTTAATCATTAAAAATTGCTACCCTATACACACACACACACAAACACACAAAAAACACACATATAATTATAATAAAAATAAATAGAAATATAAAAATAAAAAAATAAAAAATATAAAAACAAAAAAAAAAAATTAAAAAAAAATTAAAAAAAAAAAAATAATTAAATTATTTTTTATTTTTTTCCTATTTGCTTTTTTTTAAATTTTCTAATATAATCAATGCATCACCATTTTAATTTTTTTAAATTCAAAATAGAAAAAGTGTAAGTATTTACAGATTCCTGATGTTCTTTTGGTCAACATTTGGTCAAATAGTCCCTATTCAAATCGATATATACGGTCCAAAAAAAAAAAAAAATCATCCAAAAACAAATCAATAACAATCAAATAATTTATTAAACTTCTTGTCTTATCAAGTAGTTTCGTAGTTTTAAAAACAAATATTTAATAAACAATAAAAATAAAATAAAAATAAAAAACTTCCATTTTTATATTATCATAAACCAATTTTGTATTGTACAGATATATTTTTAAATAAGAAAAACTATTTCTTAATTTAATTTTTTTGAATAAAAAATTAAACAACGAATTTATTTTTTAATTGTGTGAACAATGATTTTTTAAAAAACAATGTTAAATTATTGAAATGATTAAAAAATAAAATAAATTACACCACATTATTTTTTATTAGTATTTATTATTATTAGAATTGTTTAATATATATTTGATCATTTTACACATTTTATTCAAAGTTTTTGGTTTGTGTTTATAAAATTTTATTAAAATAAAAAGGATAGTTTTATTATAAAAAAAATAATTTAATTTGAAAAAAAAAAGATATTTATAACAACATCAATCAAAAAAAATAAAAGTTTGAAAAAATAGAAATGTTTATTTGAATATTCCAAAAAAAGACTATAATCTCTACCTTTTTTTTTTTTTTTTTTTTTTTTTTAATTAATTAATTAAACTCGTGTCTTTTCGTAAAAAATATTACGAAAAAAGTTTTCCTCGTTATAAAATTTAAAAAAAATTGAAAAAATAAAAAAATAAATTAAAAAATAAAAAAAAAGATAAATAAATTGATTTATAGAGTTATATATAAGAGTTTTGTTTAATTTATTCATTTTTATCATATTTTATTTGGTTATAATTCACTATTTTAAAATAATATAACAAGATATAGTTCCCAAATTTAATTAAATAAAAATAAACCAAAAAACCCAACACTTTTTTTTTTTTTAAAAGGGGGGTGGGCCATTTTTATTCAAATAATAGAAAAAAATAAAAAAAAAAAAAAAAAGTTTTTTTTAATTATTTTTTTAATTATTTTTTTTTTTTAATTTTTTTTTTTTTTTTTAAAAAATTTTTTTTTTTTTAAAAAATATAAAATTTTAAAAAAAAACCTTTATTTTTTTTATTTTTTTTTTTTTTGGGGGAAAACCCAAACCCAAAACCCCCCCAAAGATTTAAAACAAAAAAAAAAATTTTAAAAAAAAAAAGAAGGATTATTTAAAAATTCTCTTTGGGGAATATAACCGCGATGAAAATTTAAATTATTATTTTTTTATTTTTTTTTTACCTTTAGGAAAATTAAGATTTTTTTTAATAAAAATTTAATTTATTTTGGGGGGGGCCAAAAAAAACCTCCCACAAGAATTAAGGGGGGAATTAAAAAAAAAAAGAGGGAAGACGTTTTTTTTTTTGGAGGAAGAAGGGGGTTTTTCGTCCCCTGGGGGGTTTCCCCAAATTTTAGGGGTATTTTCTTTA